TGAGAGATGAGGTTCAGAGCGATTCGGTGACAGCCCTGGCAGGTGGCAGGGCTGGGATGCAGGCCTGAGCCAAGTGCCTTCCTAGGGAACCAAGCCCTGCTTGGGGCCTTCCTTGACTCCCGTCTGCCCTGACGTGCCAAGTAACAGCCATGTGGACTCGGGATCCAGTGCAACAAGAGCTCTGTGTCCACATGAATTCAAGAATTGTAGTGCAGCCCTCAGAAACAAAAGCAGATCATTTAAAAGCACACATGTAAAATCATGACCTTTCCCGGTGCCTCAAACTACCTCGATGCGAAATTTCTCCGTGCAACACACCCGTGCGCATGTTCCGTTCGAATCCATTTACTATAGCGTGAGATAGCCTCCTGTTCCTTCTAGAGGCTGCAATTACAGACACTTAAAAACTGACGTGTATAAAATTGTGCAAAAGTAGGCACCTGGCTTCTCCATCAAAAGAACCATTGCCAATGAGGATGGTAACTCTCCGGCTCCTTCTCTTACAGCTGTGTCAAGGAAAGGGCTTCATTTGTGAATTTTGTCAGAGTGCCGCGGTCATCTTCCCATTTCAGACCGAAACGTGTAGAAGATGTTCAGGTATCTTCATAGCTTCATAACGTAAGCTTACTAACAGCTTAATAACCGAAACAGAAAATTAACTTAAGGGCAACTTAATAATTTAAGCCCAGTGTTGTTTGAAGTATATGGTGCTGGTGTGTGCTTGTATGTTGGATGGGAGCTAATGGAATTTGGGGTGCATGGGGAGGAGTGTGTGGGTGGGGCAGGGATGAAGGGTGAGGCCTTCCTGTACAGTGTTTGGAGAGAAGAGTGGTTCCCCTTTGGCCCGTGCCCCACTTCTTTGACACCAGGGCAAGCACTCCACAGCCACTGCCCCAGTTATGGGATTGGATCACAATCATGCCTAAGGCTGAGGTGCTGTCTCTGGCTTCTTTTGCGCTGCACTGGCAGATTGTGGAGTTGTTGTGGAGACCGTGTAGCCCAAAAGACCTAATGCATTTGCTATCTGGCTCTTCACAGAAGAGATTTTTAGACCTCCGTTTTACTGTATGTGTTAACCCTCCAGGAAGTCCCGTGATCTCTAAACCGTTTCATGGGAGCAATCTGGCAATGCATTCTGCCTTTACCCTTGGTAAGAGCTGCTCCTCCTCTTTGACCCCCTCCAGTGCTGTCTCCGCTAACCTGTTAGGCAGAATCATTAGGCTGTATCGCAGGAGAGGCTCCCCAGCAGACAAACTCCCAGCCACAGGTTTGCAAGCAGAAGGCTCACTGGGGCGTGTCAGGCTCAGCACCCGTGGGTGCGTGAAGTCCACAGGGCTTGGCAGAGGGACAAGTTGAGCTGGATATGGTGGCCTTGAAGGCTTAGCACATCTCAGGGCACTCTGGAGCAGGGTAGCCTTCACTGTTGTCACATAGTCGGTCAGGGACCAGCCAAGCCTTTAAACCCCGGGTTGACCAGTCACCCACCGGATGCGAGCCAGTGTCCGCATGCAGAGATGACCTTGAGGGAGGCAGCTCTCTCCAGTTAGGGCCATTTCCAGTGAGGGCCACCTCCTCAGCTGTCAGCAGCTGAGGGAACAGTCCTTGGGCAGATCTGGGGGCACTATAGCATCAGGCTCTCTCAGCCTCAGGTCCATGACTTAGTGGGGACTTCATAATCGCTTAGTTTCAACCTGCCTCATTTCTTGTCGGATGACTCTGGTTTCTGGGTTCAGACCACCTCTCTCCCCGGGATGGGGATGACCATCTGTACATATGTGAGCGAGCAAGACAGCCCCTTTGCTGATAGCTGTCCCCTGTGCTCATAGGGTGTAGAGCCTGCTTTCACAAGCGGTGTTTCCAGTCGTCTGGGTGCCCCCGGTGTGCGAGGATCACAGCTAGGAGAAGACTTTTGGAAAGTTTACCCTCTGCGGCATCATGATGCCCCGAGCATTGTGAAAAAGACTCTTCAATATGCCTCGTAACACCAATTTGTGTCTATTATTGATAATGTTGTTTTAGATTTTGAGTATTGTATATTAAGAAGGGCCGATATTACATATATTTAATGTTTTCAAAAGAATGCAGATTGTTTGTTATTAAGCATTAACTTGTTACTGGTGGTTTTGTTTACACACGTTCAATGTTTTTGCTGCTACTGTTTTTTTTAAAGAGTTTTTCGGATACTTCCTAAATTGTATTCGAGTGGTTGTGTATACCTAATATAGGATCCTATTTTTTTTTTATGAATTATCACTGACAAGACAGATGACTCCGTTCCTCTTCCTGTAAAGCTTGTATTGTGAAATGGATTGGTACTTCCAATGAACAAAAGTGCGACCCACAATCTATTTGCTCGGAAGTTTTTCCCGCCTTAAATGCCATTTTGTAATTGTATCAGTGTTACAGACTTGGCTCGTTCCAGGGTTCGTATGGAGAGTGTACGTTGTTTCTGCAGTTAAATCTATTTCGAGATGAGCTTGAGTTGCGGAGCCGTGCCCGGAGGCCCTGCTTGATGCAGTCACCTGGACGTGGCGCTCTCAGAAGTGCACACCTTTGTTATCTCTCTTCCCCACACCAAGTCAAGGGAGGCATGGATGAGTAGAACTTCACACCTGCCCTTTAGGATGTAGCCTCATACGTATGACACTGAACATAAAGTGTTTGCAGAAAATACTGTAATAACATTAAAACACTAGTAATTACTAGTAAAATACTAGTAATAACATTAAAACCACAGACATCACCTTAAGAGGTTAAAGGGATCACTCTGCTTTCTTGAGACATGGGAGTCTGTTTTTTTTGTTTTACCTGCTACATTCTTTCTCCTACTTGAGAAGGACCCTGGGCCTGGATTCCTTCCTGGAACATCTTCAGCCTGGAGCACAAGTGTCATATCCCCTGGGGTTCATGTGCCCTAACTACACGTATTCAGATGAACTTCTCAAACAGTACAGGCAGGCAGTAGAGTGGTACTGGTCCTCCCCTAATCCCATCCAGTGCGTGCGTGCGTGCGTGTGTGTGTGTGTGTGTGTGTGTGTGTGTGTGTGGTATTCAGTGGGATAATATCGAGCACATGAAAGAAATGAGTGTCTCC